TATTAAAATATACTGATGGAAAAAAAGAAACGCAACATTTTCTGGAATGCGAATACTATAGTTATAGCTTATGTACTTTCACAAAAAGTTGTCAATTTGTTTAATGCCCTTTGAGTAGCAATACAGCTTGGCAGTGAGGCATTGCAACTTGTGTTGTGTGTGTCCCGACTGCAGAGAAGGTTTCAGCAGACCGACAGGACAGATGACAGTCCAAGATCCTGTCGCCCTCGACTGACCGCAACAGAGCATTACTGACACATCAGACTGGTCCTTCTGAGAGATCGTTTCAGATCTGCCACCCGTACTGCTGATGAAACTGCCGGTAGACACCATGCCCGCATCAGTGACAGGACAGTAAGGCTCCATGCTGCTCTCCTTAGAGCAAGGCGACCTGTCACAGGCTCTCTGCTCACACCTCTTAGACATCACACACAACTGGCTTGGGCCAGAGAGAGGCTGTGATGGACTCGTCAGATGGACAGATTTCACAGATGAGTCACTCTTGAGCCTGTTCCATGCAGACGGGAGGGCCAGAGTGTGGAGGGGGAGGTGTTGTGTTTCTTTTTTCCATCAGTATATAATGATTAATGATACACTCTCAGTATATCATTAATTCAATACCCCTAAACCTTATGTAAAATTTGGCTGTAAAGCAACACGGTAACAGAAGAGAACAATTATGAACCAAATTAATCGTATAAGGCTAACAGGTTCAGTACTATCCAACCTTTTATCCATTTTCTAACCACTGTATTCAGTACAAGGTCTCAGGGGAGCCTGAACCTAACGAAGCAATCAAACTTTTCCTTTAACAGTCCAAAGATGTATGGGTAAGTTATTGGCATCTGGGAAAATTGTCCCTGGTTTGAATATGTCTGTGTCTGTGTGCCCTACAATCCAGGATAGGCTCCGGCTTCCCCATGACCTTGTATTGGATACAGTGATTGGAAAATGGATGAATGAACATACCATACTGTATTGTAGATTGTATTCTGAACTATGTGATTTTTGTTCACACTTGATTGCTCACCTCAATATCTAACTCATTATGCGATGTTGAAGACCACTGAGGTTAAAAGCTAAATCTTAGGCTAGGATTATCTGGAGCCATTGAGTAAGAAACTATAGAAGGATATTGATAAATACCTTCTGAAACTGGTATTCCCCAGACAAGAGCATGTAATTGACAGAACACCTCAGATTTGGTTTGGGACTAGTCATCCAGGGGCTGTCCTGGGTTTCTGGCCAAAGGTAATGTATGTTGCAAGCTTGAAAAGAAGTTAGTGCATGTTGCTCCACCAATTCACACTATTTATTGGCTCAAAGGGATATGTAATCAAACACTCTGAAGTTTACTTAAAGAGAATGTGCCTGAATTTAAGGTCTCCTGAATTTACTGGGTTGGACTTTGTTGTTTGAATATGTTAAAAGCTATGATTAGAAATACCTAAAAATAAAACAGTTTTTATATGTTCCCTTTCTTAAATGTTTTGTGAAATAATGTGTGATGTATATACATTTTTAAACTTAATATTTTATTCAAAACTGAATTCTCAAACGTATGCTGACAACTCTATTCTTGCATTATTTTCAAAGCTTCTTGCTTTTCATAGTTCTCTACATGACTTTACAAACTGTAAAGGAACAAAATGTAAAAACTGTGCAAGGGTCTGAATACTTTTGGCACAGCACTGTATAAATTATATTTTCTGATAATAATCACCTTATGATTTCATTTATTTTGATTCAATGTGGTATGTAAGAAGTGTGATTACTCATAATTTCTTACTGTGTATAACACCCACTATTCTAGGGTATGTTCAAAATTAACAACAAGTACGTACATTGTCTTAAATTGTTTGATTTTATAGCCTGACTGCCAATTGAATGTGTTGAATAAAAGTTGACTAATGCTTCTGGCATGTTCTTTTTTCAGGGAGTAGATATTTTTACAGAAATATAGCAACCAGTTAACCAAGATGAATTTTTTACTTCCTCTGCCCCATCTTAACCATGCTTTGAAAATTCCCTTCTAACCCTATTCAGCTGTAGCTGTTTTGTAGCATGATGATATGTGAAACAGAAGTCTTTGTCACTGATAGCATTATTGCTTTTATGTGCCTTGTAACATACAGTATGTACATGTAACCCCTCTTCTACCAAAATGTTTGCCAGACATGTCTGTATTTTCCAGGGTCCTGTAATAGGAGGATGGTATAAGGTGCTTGAGAAGATCGTCCCAGGTGGGAGCAAAACTGTGGCTTTCAAGAAGATGATTTTAGACCAGGTTGGTTTAAAACACTAAAATAAAGATATATTTATTATGCTAGCTTCTAATGTCCTCACTGAAGGTTTCTGTTTCACCGTTTTCCTACTTCAAACGACAGGAACCATCACATTATACAGAGAAGCAAATTTCTTTGTTCAGAAACCTGCAGTTCAGATTCTTCTGGCTCTATGCTACCATTGATATGCACTTCATTCCAGATGAAGGGAAAAACTTGAAAGTCTCTGAGGATAATGTATGCCGTCGGTATGTTATGTGCTGAAGATTTTTTAAGTAAAGACCATTGAGGTTGAAAAGACGAACATAAATGAATGATCCTGATACCAGACGTGATGAATTTGGCAAAGGAATTACTAATCAAAAGGGTGTCAGTCTATGATCCTATTGATGTCCGCTTCATGTACTGGTAGCTAATCAATTCAATTAAAGAAGGAATCAATGAAGCAGGTTGTTATTTTGTAAATTATTGTCATCCTTCAGTATAACTCATACATTAAAGACTATCCTATCTATATGATCTATGTGTTACACTCACATATTACTGGTGCAAAATATATTTTAAATATTTGTGTAACCATTAGTATTAATCTCTCTGTTAAAAAAATAGGGTCATGTTATAAAAATATGATCAAATTGTTGCTGCAGACACTTATTCTTGCTGGAATACTGTACTCTTCAGTCAGCCCGGCTCCAGTCAGTGACAAACCTGGCATTTCAAGGTGCCATTGAATTTGTAAGTAATGAGCACTACAGTAATAATAGCTTGGTGAGACCAATATTTTTCTTTAATTGCCTCAGCTTATAGAGCCACATACTTATAGAGTGTATTACTGTTCCAAAACACCTTAGTTTGTGTACTTCCAGTATTCTTCCATTTGCTGAAATTAATTAATGAAGTTTTTTTGGGAGCGCTCATGTGGGCACTTCAGGTTCCTCCCACTATTTAAAGTCATACTGGTACGTTAATTGGCTTCTGGAAAGCCTAATCCTGGTGCAAGTGTGTGCATGCTTGTGTGTGTGCCTTGCGATTGACAGGCTCCCGTGCAGGGTCAACCTGCTTTGCTGGCTGGCTTCACTTTCCCTTTTATACAGTGCCACTTTGATGCAAATATATAGTGAGCTCCTCAGTCTTTTGCTTGTTGATTCTGCATATATCTCTTTGTATAAGTAGTGAAACAGCATGTTTTGAGCAAAAGGGAAATATTCTTGAATGCATTTAATTGTTGTTCAGTTATAAACTGTAGGGAGACTGTGTCCTTCTTCATACTGAGCCCATTTGAGAACAATATGCAGAAACAAATCTAAAGTGAAGGTTTACACAATACAACATGCAAAAATAGACACAATGCAAGAAATGTGCCTATACAGTATATCACACAGTAGTAAATTAATTTGCATTCACATTTTCCTTTCCAAAATTTTGGTTCAAACTTACTCAGGGTTATGTACAGTATCGGAGACATGGTTTAGTGGTTGTACATTAAAATAGAAATCTGTTACATACAGACCACATTTCAGACATGCAGTTCAGGCTTATAACAATGCAGCTCTTGGGAAAACAAAATCCATGCACAGTGGATTCCTTTTTTGTCAGAAACAGGTGTATAACACAAAACATATTAAAATATCAGAAAATATTTTCAGAAACAGCTGAGAATAACTAACATAGTTATGAGTAAATGCTGTTCATTTTTATTGCCATGTTTACACCTTCAGGGTTAAACATTTTCATGTATGTCCTGTAATCCTGAAAATAACAGTGGTCGATTGCATCATTGAATTTGTCATTTAAAAAAGATCTTTTATATTGAAATACTTAGGTGAGAGTAGTATTTTTCTTTCAAAAAGAAGTCTTCTACAGTCCATATAAATGGATTTTCAAGATGATTTTAGAGTTCTACGTGTTCATTATCTAGGAACCTAATGTCAGTGTATAGTTGATGCTGCCTTTTTCCCAGTGTAAATAAAGGCTGCTTCAAAGATCGTGTCTCCTTAGATTTCACTGGACCAATAACCCTGGCAATGAAATTGGTCAACGTTTTACAGGTGGTGGCATCAGTAAAGCCCACATTCATTCATCATAAGATTTCATGGCCACTGAGCAGTAAAGCTTTATTGTATCACACAATAAATGTATTACATCACACAGGTAAAAGAAGAAAGTGATACAAAATTACTCAATCAACAAGGTTAAAAAAGACATAAATTCCTATCATAAAGTACTGTTTTTTTTTCTAAATAGACCATAACTGTTATGGCGTTTAAAGGTGGAACATACAGCTAATAAATACAAACAGCTATTTTACAGATATTTTAAGATACTAAGGTGTCATTCTCATTGTTTAACTTAAGGTGCTATCTTATTAATGTCTTTTGAAGATCACAGTTGCTTTAAGGTCATTTGATGTGTTAAATGTCTTGCTTGGTAATCTTCCATACAAGCTCTTAACTATTCTTAAAACGGTTAATTGACAATGATGATGGGACTGTTTCCATTACCTTTACGTCTCCTCTTTAAGCAGTCTGAATGTTTTGTGTGATTGATTAGACAGTAACGGTTTTAGGAGCCAGTGTTCAGATGCTATTGTGGGAAGCACAGCCTGTGACATTAAGAACAAGAAGTACCACAAGAAAAGATCAGGTAGAGGGCCGAACTGTTTTTATAAAATGGACAAACTTTTTCATACATTACATTCCCTTCAAACACAAGCTTAAGATGTCACCTTTTAAAAATAATTTCTCAGCTTTTTATATTAAGTGTGATATTTACTTGTCCAGCCTGTAATATAAAGTAAATGTTGATGATGTCCTCATAAACTGCACCATTTACTTTACAATTTTTAATGAAATGCACAACAGCCATATTGATTATTTTTATTTTTCTAATGAGAATATACAGTACTGTACTGTAATCCAGATCTCTTTATGGTCTGCAGCATTTTGTGTTTGGCTTAAAGATTTGGAAATCAAAATTGGAGCTTAAAGACAAAGCCATTTTCGCACTTTATGCAAAACTCTATATTGAAGGGAAATCTCTGATACTGACATGTATTCATGACTATCATCATAAGTGTTCACATTATGTTCATATTGTCCAAATATAAACTGCAAACTTGCAAAGTAAAACGTTGACAATACAGAGATCCATTTTGTATTGTCAGTCTTTAAAACAGAATGTTGCGAATTCATCCGAATATGCAATTATATATTTTTAGAATTTCATTGTAAAATCTGCTTATTTGCTTTTTGAAATATGATTAAACCAACTTTCACATGTTACAACAGAATTAATAAAGAGCCTTGATTCCTTCCAACCTGGGCAGCAGAATTTTGGTTTAATGCTATTTTCAAAAATAATCCTGTCCCATTTATAAAATGCTCAAACTTCTGAAAGGATATCACTGTACAGTGTATTTGCTAGCCTGGCTGGAAAATTACTTCCTCAAGACGTGGTATCCTTTCTTTCTCTCAAGGGGTTTCGAAAACAAAGCTCAATCTACAGCTTCCTTTTCATTTCTTAGGGTCAGAACATGGCCTGTTATGCTGCAAATTGTTATACAGTGTTATACTCTGGCCCAGAATCATCCTTTTCATTAATTCATAGGCTTCAGTAGGCTTCATGACATACGCATATGATAGAAAAATGTAAAGAACCTGCATTATTGATGTTTTCATAAAAGAAATAACATTCATGTTATAACCCTGTAACCTGTAAATAGAAAACAACACAATGAGAGCAGAATGCAAGATGCATGAGCAATGGGGAAAGGAAAATCAAAGCTATGGAATCTTATTAGCTGTCATTCAACTAAGAAGAACATTGCTTTAGCTCATTTCTGTTCTTACTGAATTATTACAACCTAGCAAATGTATTCTTTAACTCTATGATATCACAGAAAAATAGTTAGATCCCATAGTATGAACCTTTGTAGAGCCAGTTGAATGGTTTGAACTTTCAAAAAGCTAATGGAAGCTGATGCCCAGATAAAGCATTGCCTTTCACATAACTCAGCTTAGCATAAGTTAATGGCATCTGTGTCTGTCTTACCACCATAGGTGGTATGAAACATGTTTTCTAATGTATGCAAAGAGTATACTTGCATTATCTCTGTAGATTGTGTGAAAACATATGTGGATCTGCATACAGTACATCTGTAATATGATTAAGATGCAAATTTATCTCCTGTACATTTTTAAACCTCAGTTATTATAGCACTTCCTCCTGCTTCTAGAGTTTGTAGACTGCACACGTCTTTCACATTGCAAAAAAAGCAATAGGGCTGTTTATGATTATGTGGATGTGGATTTGTGTATTTTTGAAACCAGCAGACAAGCATAACATATAGAGTGAAAGTGGTTGTAAAGCATCGTCCTTGTCTTTACATAGCTGTTGTATTTTCTTCAACAGCCTCTCCTCTTTACAGAACTGCAGCACTCTCAGTGTCAGGTCAATAGAATGACTAGTTTGCAATTTTGCTAATATACAGTACTCAATAATTGTTCAAAAATGGAATTACATTAGATAATGCATATAATCAAACATAAAAGATTAATACCCAGCTGCAGACTCTTATTTGCAGTCATGACAACTCCTTCTTTCATAGGTTCATTTTTCAGTTCTTCAGTTTTTCTCAGCATCACAAAGTTTGTGACTTCACTGTTATTGCTGGTAGTGCTCAAATCAAGCTCTGGTTTTCCTTTTCAGCCTGTGTTATTACTTGAAGTGCATATTAGATACCTATCTGATGCTACATGCCCTTATTCAATCGAGATTAGACTACTGTAAGACTTTCTTTGATGGGATATCTTCTAAGATCTGGCATTTTAATCAAGGGGTTATGTTTTCTGATACCAGTTAAGCTTCAGTATGTCCAGACGTCTGCAGTTTGTGTGCTAACTAAAGGTGCTAACTAATTGTAGTGAACTATCTACTGTAGCTCTAGATAATGTAAAGGATTTGTTGTATAGTCCAGCTTTTAAATTGAGATTGGCTAATATACTGTATCATTCATTTCCATACCTCTTGTAGTCTTCAGATGCTACATGTCATCCCCTCAAATTCCATTAAAGTTCAGCAGTGCAAAGCACAACTGTCACATTCTTATCTCACAAGACAATTGTTGTTATATAAGCAACATAAGGATGTTCATTGAACTGCTAGCAATGTAGTACCATGCAGTCAGGTTGCTATTAATCACTACAAGTTCTATAGTGACTAGACAGTAGTCATTGCAGTAGTCAGTTGGTCCATTGTGCACAATTAATCTCTCTGACATCCATTAAGGCAGTCTACACAAAATGTTGTTTCATTGCATTCTTTCTTGATTTTCACCATGCTTGGCATTCAGCGGGTTAAATCACCTCGTCATCAACTGCTTTTTGACACCAACTATGCCCGATCAACTCTCTTTAACAGAGTGATTAGTACTTAACTAACAAATTTACTTGAGTATGTCATGGTCAGACACAAAATGCATTTACTGTAATATCCAAAATTGGTATACTTTATTTTTCTGAAACTCTGCATGGAAAAATAAAGCAGTAAATGTATTTCTGGAGCCATACTAGTAAATGTCATGTACAGTAATGATGGTGTGCAAATAAACAGCTCAGGATTGCCATCCAAATGAAGATGACAAAAAAACAGCCAAATATACAACACATATGGTAAACATCTCCTCAGGATTCTCTTCACTTCATTGAAACTTTATTGCTAGTACAGTATACAACTAGTATACAACCCTAATATTTACAATCAAAATGTTTATGTTCTGTATTTTTTATTTCAGTAATAACAGCTAAAGCAATTTCTTATCTCTTTTCCCTACAGGCAGCATTTGCTCCATGTTTTCTTGGTTGCTTCCTGTCTATCACTGGGGCTTTAAATGGACTGTCAGTGGAGGAAAACCTGGCCAAGCTGAAGAGAGTAAGATTCAAATTAAACTCCAGGTTATAGTTCACCAAAACCATAAAGATGAAAGAAATGAAAATTCCTGAACATTTTTTTGTGGTGGTTGGCACCATCCATTGAATTATGTCAGTTCAGAAAAAGTCTGGTAGAACAGGTTTTCAGATGTAATCAACATTCTTTGACTTCATTTTTCAAACGATGTTCTGAACAAGGCTAAGTATGGCAAAACAAAGTAAGCAAAAATTGTACTCCATTTTAAACAATCCAGCTACTTTCTTGTGCCTGAGTGGTGTTCAGTGTGCTCCCACATCCTAAAGCAATTAATATACTGTACCATTTGCAGTTCTTGTGCAATTTGTGTTATTTCTGCTCAGATCACATGAAGGCTGATTGTTGTATCTTTTCCAAAACTCATTAACACAATTAATAGATGAACAGCAGAAACAACTAAAATGAAATTAATGAAACTACTGTGAAAACACGTACTTTGTGTTTCTTCAGAATATTTCTTTATCTCATACATCCATTGCTTTGTTTCAGTAGTTCATAGATATGAGTGTAAACATCTGATAACAATGTAAAACAAACATGAGCAAACACAACTGGACTGAAGGGCCATTGACATATTTCACATTGTAATGTGACATGTTAAAAAGTGCAAGTTGTTATGCTGATTCACTGATCAAAAATCAAAAGCCATTTTGTAGGTAATATTCGTCAAAACCTACTGTAACTGGTAAAATCTGAGCCACTGTAATTCCATTCAAGAAAGTTTAAATTGGTCATTAAACAGAGTTTTAAGGGAATGTTCTGCATCTAGATTTATATGGGTGTTCCAGGATGGTGTTGAGTGTGAAATCAATTTCCCTATGGGATCAATAAAGTCTTATCTTAAATGTGAATACATCTGTGTAGGTAAAGAAGCTGTAAATCAAGGGCTAATGGGTCATAAACAGGTACTGTAGGTCTTTAATTGCATGGCAATAAACTGGGTAGAGCCAAAATGTAACTGAATGTTTTCTGTTCTAGACATAGTGTATATCTCAGAATTGTTAAATACCACTTTAGAACCATCTCTAGTATTCCCATTTTCAAAAAGTTATTTAATCAGAAAATTCTATCATAAACTTGCTTCACAGTACTGGGCCAATCTGTTGCTCTTTTGTGTATGTTTTTAATTTGCAGTGATACCTACTGTAATAAATATCCATGATAAGTGATGTCAGACTGACAAATAATCCACTGAGTGATATAAATATTTTAATTAACAAATCTAGGAGAAGTGGTTTGTCATAATTTAGTCTCAAACACCTACCATTTTTGGACTAGCCATTTGTATTTGTTGTGATCATTGAACAAGTACATAACACAATGCGTTAAATTACGCAGAAATTACCACTTTGAATGGAAAGCAAAGACACTCTTCTAAATGCTCTACCACCTGTGTTCTTTTTTTATAGGAACTAGCTCCTTTAGAGCTTTTTGTGATTAGAATATCTTTAAAATGTATCTGTTTGATACTGGGATTGTAGACTTATAGTGGACGTAGCACGTGGAATAGTTCTAGAAAAATGTGATTGTCTGGAATATTCAGTATTTGTCATTTGTGAACATCACTGAGGTCTGGTACTCCAGAGCAGTCAGTCCAGCAGAGAACAATAAAAGAACAAAGTGCAATTGTGGCAGCAACAGGAAAACTTCTGGGATTGAACTCCTTGCTTTTCAACAGGGACAATCAGTACTTTTAAGTACTATGTCCAGGTTTTATTATACTCTTAACGGTTTAAATTGCATTTATGGGTCTTTCCGGAAGCTATTTGAAAATGTTTGAGGATCATTTTTTCAGAAATAAGTTATAACAAACTATAAATAAGTTCAACATTTTAAATTGTAAGAATTGCATTTTAAATTGAGAGAAATTCGGAGAAGACAGGTCTTAAATGAATGACAGGGAGCTGCTGGGCTTTTCCTGCCCTGTTTGATGTCATTCATGTGACATCTCAATTCCAGCTTTAAGGCAGGATCTGTCATGTTTAACTCATAGAATCTATTACCTTCCTTCAGTTTGTAGGATTTCAACTGGTGATCACCTTAAAATCAAACTGTGATCTTTCTGATTGACCAGGAAAATCATTGTTGTATTTACAGTACCTCTTCTGTTGTCTGCTCCAGATACATAAACAAAGATTAAACTGTGACTTTCAATTCTTGTCATGGATTACCATGGGGTGGTACTGTCAAGTCCCCCACTCGGCCCCAGTCACCTACTGGGGTTCTGCTAATAGACACTATTTGAGATGAAGGAGGTAAAAACCAATAAAATCTCTTTCCAGTTTTATAACAGCTTTTCACCAACATTTTGGGTGTAGTTTATCAGATATGGCATTTTTCAAGGCTGTCTGATTTTGAAGTTAACAAGCTGGTGTTTAAAGAGGAGTGCAGGCCAGGTCCATCTTTTGCTTTTTTACAGAATATTGGGTTTTTGTTGGATATGAGAAGATATGAGAAGTCATTGACACAAGCAATAGCTTCAGCTGGGCTGTGCTTTAACACGCTGACACTGCCGACAGGTTAAGAAGGATTAATTGGACTACATTAAGAGGAATGGAAAAGCTTCTCATTCTTTCAGCTATGAGGGCTGAATGAGAACTGATTGAAGCCTGAGGAGGGTTCCTGTCAAACGTGTCCTCTATTGTACAGAAAAAGAAATGAAAAATAATATGCCTTCTACATGCAGTCATGTCCTTATTCTTTTTTTCACCTGCTCATGCTTGCTATTTCATTTAGCTCACCAAAATCAGTATGTCAAATACACATACACATGAAATAATGTTTAAACACTGGAAATTCATCATTTATTTCTTTATATTTAGTCACCTTCCACAAGGATGCAATGAAAATCAACAATTCAATCAAATTCATCACAGTTCAGCTTTGATGTATCTCTGCCCTTAAATCCTCGATCAAGTGTGGGTTAGGCTGGAATTATCAATCTCTCTGGAATCCCCATAGGTAAAACCCACATGGATTTAGGTCAGCGTGCAATGATGACCATACTTGACTATTGACATCAGAGAGCCTGTTCAGCCGAACTATAAAAATACTCAGGCAAAAGGATGTTTGTGAACCACAAACATCAAACTCTCTAAAAAAGATTCTTTGAAAAAAGCATAACTCCCACTCGCACTGAAAATTGTTTTAATTCACACTTTATGCATTGTTTGAAATCAAGGTGTTGTTTTGGGAAGAGGTACACTTAAATTTAAAGATACAGTATATTTTTTTTATTTGGATTCATACTCAATTTGGTTTCATACTTAATGGCATTTTTTATATTAATTATTGTCAGATATATTTTTTTAAATACCTCAGTTGAAATGTATATCCTATATACATGGTATTTGAAGGTTATAATATTTTAATACTTAGGTAGTTTTATGCTTTTTGTTTTGTCTTTTCTATCATTCCACCTGATACTCTCTGTCCTGGCCCAAATAATGACAGTATCGTGCCATCAACAAGCTAAAATCAGGCTTTTTATTTCACTGGATATTATCCATGATTCAAGAATCCCATCTTTTTTGTTTTCATGTTTTCATTCAAGAAGGCTCGAGCTCTACAGTCTCTATACAGTATGTCCTAATATCCTTACAGACATGTAGCCAATGTGAATGTCTGAGAGAAGAGAATAATTATTTCTAATGGAACCAAAATAAATAATTACTTTTGCTTTTTTGTGTTTCTCAAGAAAAACACTACCACCAATACAAAACATAAATGCATGCACCAGACATCATGTGAACATCTGAAAGCACCTTGTTTGTTTCCACAGTTTTAAAATACACATTGGATGGGTCTTAAATACAAACCAATTACAGAAATCTCATTGTCTGGAACAATATGTATGATACAGAATAAAAGTGATCTTGGACAGAGTTTGTAAAACTGTTGGTTAACATTAAATCATTCATGTTTTGTTTATTACAGGATTACAAAGATGCCTTGATTTCAAACTATTATGTAAGTTTTTCTATGTATTTATTTTGTGTGCTATGTTGTAATATAGTAATGTATCTAAAAGTATGATAAAAATATAACATAAGACTGAATAGACTTTAAAACTATTATTATTTGGTTTTGGAGTTATAAACCTTTTTAATAGTTTCCTACTTCCTGAAACATTGTTTAACTGATTGTTTAAGTATCTGTTAGTGTGATTGTTATCTCTTAATTCAAAATAAGTTAAATTATTTAAATTTAAACAACAATAGATAATTCAGATTGCTGGGGGAAGCACCTGACTGAACATTTTTTGGTAATGTCACAGCAAACAGCATTATTTGTGATCACTTGCTATGTTTTAATACATAGCAAAACTACAAAATTAATATTGCTGTGGTAGCAGAAATGTTAAGTTTGTACAAATGAAGAGCTCTCTCAGTTCCCGTTGATGAGTATTGTCTATTTGTAACCAGATTTAAAAGCTTTGTATGCCACCTGCCTCATAATTATTAGGCAACTGAAAATAATTGAATATGCTTTCAATTGAAAATGTTTGGTAGATGATGTATCCACGTTTTGCTTCTTATAAGTAGAAACCAGGGTGGGTTAGGGTCAGGACTAGCATTGCTATCTCAAAGAGCTGGGGCCTTGAGATCAATTTCCAACCTGGGGTGCTGCAGTATGTGTGTTAGTGCAGTTTGTTCTCCCCATGTTCGCATGAGCAATCTCCTCTGATTGATGGAAACTTCCAGTTTCCTCCAACAGTCCAAAAAGGTAGATTAATTGGCTTCTGGGAAAATTGGCCCTGGTGTGAATGAGTGTGTCCTATGGTGGACTACCACCCTGTCCAGGACAGGGATAGGGCTGAATAATGCATTTAGAAAATGGATGGATGTTAGAAGCAGTATTAGTAACATTGTCTGGTCACTACTTAACATTTGCTATCCTATTACTGTATGTGTCTAGTTACCCACTTTTCTGAAAATGTATCTAATGCCTTTGCTATACGTTTCTTTGTTTAATTAATATTAAAAAAAGAACCATGACATGAAAGCCTACTGCAAGGGTTATATGGTTAATAAAATTTATGAAATATAAAGCTTAAACAGATCTTACAATTTTTTCTTTTTTTTTCTTTTCAGCTATGGCCAGGTGTACAGATAGCTAATTTTTATTTCATACCACTGCATTACAGGTAATATAATCAATGAAATGCTGTCACTTTAGGCACCTGAGTCTGTCAGAACTGTTACTTTCTGTAGATTTTGTGATATTTACTTTTTCATATTCAAATTGAAGCAGTGAATTATAATTTAACCTGTGATACATTCAACTTGTAAATGGATAACTTCAAACAAGCACACACAGAGCTGCTGGATAAAATTGATTGTAGTATAATTAGAAAGATAATCATGCATAGTTATGTCATGCTTTGACATTTTGGAGATGGTTAATTTATTAAATTCTATTAATTATTACATTCTTCAGGTTCTTGTTATGAAGGTGTTAATAGTGCAACTAATTATTTAGCAACAAAACTAGAATTAATGAATTCAAACTAAGCAAAAAATATAATTTTATTTGATTTTACATGTAGGTGTGTAGTAGTTTTTCCTCCCTACCTCATTGAGTTACAGTCTGGCAGATGTATCCCTTGGCTGACTATAGACATGTGAGACTGAGAAAAAAGAACACCGTTGCATCTCTATTAGCCATTAATTGAGATATGTCTTTAAACAATAGCATATTACTGAAACAGGATTGCAGCAAATAGTTTTACTTTTCCTTTTAAAAATGTTAATCATGTTCATGAACCAAGCACATGGTTGATAATATTGATAACAGGTGCAATTACGCAGCTTACTTTAATAAAAAAAACATATATTATTTTCTTTAAAGAAGATCAGTGCTAGGATAAGGAAAAGGGTATTCCTTGGTGTTGCCAAGATAAAATATTTTTTATGTTTAAGCAAGGTGCAAAAAAAAAAGATTATTGAAAATCTGTAGCAATGTATTGTTGGTTCTAATATCAACAGCAGTGCAAAATTGACTCTTTAATTTTTAATACCAGGCATTAACTATGCTTCTGTGCACTAAAATCTATCTCTAATATCATCATACGTTTTCACCTGTCATAGGATTTAAGGAGCATGCAGGGAGCAAAGGAACTCTTTCAATCATTTAAATGTACATTATTGTACAAGTGGCACCTTGTTTCCTGTAATGAAGTGGCCCACAGCAGGAAAAGTCACCAGACTCCTGGAGAGAAACACATCACACTCAAGTGAATGGGAAAAAAAAGACCCAAGAATGAGCTTATTAAACTTTGGCGCAGCAAGTGGGGAGACATAGACAAAGAAAGGCCTCTTTCATAGCACTGTACTTTTAAAGAGTTTAAAGGTCTATTCTATTTTAGATATAGTGTAGTTCTTAAAGGAATAGTGGTATGTGTGCACAGTAAAACTGGCATAGAATCCCATGAAGTGCACTGCAATTTAAATCATTGCATTCACCCAAATATATTTTATTGATGGATTTTCTTTTGGAATGCTTTTGAAAAAGGTTCTCAACATGAAGCCCACTTCAAGAGTGGAACAAACAAAAGCAAAAAAATAATTATAATAACTACGATACATAACTCTTCGTGGATCTAAATCAGTTATCAAAATAAAATATCGAAACTTTGTTTTTGTTTTGTTTTGTTAAATCATTTATATTTAAATATGTCAAAGCTTTATTCTAAAATGCCAAAATGGTCACTAAATCAATTATATTCTTCATACACTCTCAGTGACAAAGAAATGTCTTTTAAATTTGTATTATACTGTAGTTCATTTTCCATATGTTGTGGAAACTATTTACATGTCAAAACGCAATAATGGTGATGGATTCAACTTTAAAGTTCATTATTTGATCTTCCTTTTAAACAGAAAAGTACAGCAACACTGTTGTCTAGGACAGTATCAACAATTTAATGATTTTGCACCTTATTTATGTACTCTGTTTAAAAATAGAAGCCTTATTTAATGTTCTGGGACTATAGTCCAAGACTTCCACTAATAATATTCACTATTCATGCATCTTTCTGTTTGTCTTTTTCTTGTGCAGGCTGGCTGTGGTCCAAGTTGTGGCAATAATTTGGAACTCATACCTGTCGTGGAAGGCGAACAAGATATAAGAGATACAAGAGCCTACCTCACTAACACATACTGTATACAGTAAATAAAAGCAATGTGTTATTACAGTGCATATACTAGTATACAGTATATAACAGTATAATACTGAATCATGTGCTGTACTTTCTGCTTTGTGAAATGTGTTTCACATTTCTATTGGTAGTTAAGCACATTGCATCAGGCACATTTACTTTTGGGGAAAAAAAGAAAACATTATTTCCCATGCTACAATATTCGACAAAGTTGATATAAATAGTATTTTGTTTCTCTGAATAATTCTTTATACATATTTAATCTGTGTTTTTAGCTACGTTTAGGTTAGGAATCTTTTCAATTTAAAACAATAAAATAAAACGTTCAATGTTTCACTAGTATAAAAATGGCCAACGCCTAAGGTATCAAGGAAAATAAAGTTATGTAAAAATAAAAGAATAAAAGATAGACATCCTTTCATCTTTTATTATTCTTTTATTGTAGCCTTTTCACTATTGCCTGGTCTGACTTTCCTAGGACCACACCACAAAAATAGACGTGTTTTATTTTTTATATTTCGGTTGTAATGGAGTTATGCTGAAAGGCATGGCAATTTTTTCAAAGATGATTTAAACAATTCAAGGCAGAGTTCAATGCCAAGCAGAGTCCATTCCTGATTCCCATGGATGCATGCTTCAAAAATTGTATGGTTGTCTAGGAATAAAATATTAAAGATTGTGTCCTATAGCTTAGAATATACTGTATTTACTATCCTTTGTTACTTTTTTTGAAAATATCAAATTCAGGACCATAATTTGAAATTATGTATAATTATGTAAAGGTATCTGTGTCAGAAGCCACACTGCAGAGTGGCACTGAGCTTGATCTCCAGCTTTGACTCACTGATGATTCATAATTGTCACACAAAGGGCCCTGTAGCTACTGTAGGTACTGTATCTGTTTTTAATTAAATATAAACAGCTGGCAGGACAGTGGTGCAAACTGCAAACATAACTAAACAAAGTATTCAAAATCATTTCTTCTTTCTTTCTCATTCTTTTCCTGATGCTAATATGAAGCATACAAGAATGAATGCAAGTCCCAGAAATGAAGAGATTATATCCAAAATGGAAAATAATAACCATTCATTATGGTTATTAATGGCTTTACAGGCTCACTCGCCATCTTATTGCCCTTTTCATTACAGTGGGGCATGGTAATCACAGAGGCAGACAGATGAAGTGCAGGAATCCACTGGACACAGAGGAGGGATTCATGTTTATTTTAGCCGATTACTATAAGAATACTTTTGTTTGTTTTAGTTAATCAATTTTATTTTAATTAGTTTTAAGCCAATTTATTAATAATTATATAATTTACTTTAATATATTAGTATTATTTTTGTCCTTTAACCATACAGGGGCATACTATACACTGTATTACATTATGCAACAGTGTAGGGCTGGACTTGGCTATAAGTGAATTAGGCTGTCAGTAACAGTTCTCTGCACTGAACATATGAGTACAATAACAATTTCAGATCCACAGACTCATAACCTTGCATTGTAATTAGAGGCAGTTTACTTTTTAAACTGGTAATCACTACATCATTAAGGCTCATTAATCTCCTGTTTTGTTTGAAATACCCCACAAATCTTGAGTAACAAAAATAGCTCAAGTGACTGGCTTCTTGTCTGAATATGTTATCCAAATGTTAATTTATTTTTCTGAGTTTAAAGTTTAAAGGCCATTTCATTATTGCAGTTACTGTATCTTGGCCTGTTCTATGAAATGCTTTTTTTAAACTTTTCACTAGTAAAGACTTAGACATCAGGTGCTGTGAAGAGAACCACATTCATTATTGTTAAAAAAACCCAATAAACTTTCATTCCATTTTTGTAACAGCTTTTCAACCAATATTTTGGGCGTAGTTTATCAGATATCGTATTTTTCAAAGCTGATTTTGAAGTTAACAAGCTAGTGTATAAAGAGCAGAGCAGGTCAGGTCCATCTTTTGGTTTTTTTTTGCAGAATATTGACTTTAGATTTTATACTATTGTAGTGGTTTGATGGGTTTACTGAGACAATTATTAATTGTAGCAGTAATCATGAGGTTGTTCGTTGGGGCTTTTAGAAAATCAATCGTCAGAACAACTAACAACACACACACTGGTTCAATACATGAGATAGATTTATTAATATATTAATATAACTGTGCACCAAACATATACTAGTTTGCCTGGATACGAGCGGCAGACCTTACTGTGAGGGTTATCAATATACAAGGTATATAATCTCGAAGAGATGCAAACACAAAGAGATACACAACAGAGAATATATGTAAATATATAACGTTCGGTTACCAAATCGCTAATCAGTGTTATTACCCACTGTTACTCTAAACTCGGAAGTAAATACATTACTCATGAATTAAATTGATAACAACTTGTGTTGAGGTACAATTGAATTCTCGAGACGCAATGTAGAACATGGGGTTTACTTATCCACTGTGTATGGATTTGGAATTTCCCGGCACGAACACCAAACCAGCTGACAGGCTCTGTTGCAGCCTCTGTTCCAGCGGTTGTCCAATGGTCGTTGTCCCGGCGTCCTCTGGCTACCGGCCAACCAGGCAAGGTGCAGCCCAGAGTAGGACGGGCGGAGGAATCTGACTGCGGCACGCATGGCAGTCGTTGCTCCGAGGGGATCTATCAGCAGTCCGGCTGGCTAGTAGAAAGTCTCTATGCACAGAGTGTGACCGCGAGTCCTCACAAGTCACTCTTTTACCTGGGAAGAAACTGGTTCGTTCCCGGTCCAGCGCTGCTTCTGAATAAGCTATTCAGGTTGTCGACGAGGGTCCAACTGTAGGCTGCCGTTGATCAAGCGGAGCATTCACATTGGTAGAATTCTGAGTACGTACTGGATCCTCGGCCTCGCGCTTAGAACAAAGTCCAAGTCCCTTTGCAGACAACAGCAATTGTCACGTGATTGTCTCTGAGGATGCGCAAAAATGGCCAAGGAGAGCCCCGATCTGAGCTTGCGCTCCCTTTTTGACCAAGACACAGATGTGTGCTGATTGGTTGAGAGTTTGGGGGGCATTGGAGACCTACGTGGTATTACCACGCCCTGCCAGTCCCTGATTGGTTGGTCAAGGTGAGATATAAGTCACTTACTCTTGACACTTAAGAATGCAGTCCAGATGTCCATTCAGCACTCCCTAGACTGATAGGCACCAATGGATGACCATTGATCATGATTGCCAGGCTTAGCTAAGTGCATCCCCGTCTGGGAGCTGTCCCTTATCAAAAGAAAACATCTTAAATCAGCCTGCATGAATACTTTCTCTGTGGCTGCACCACAGAGATGGAGGGTGAGATGGGGCCTCATTTAGGACCGCATACCAACGCTTAATTCTGTCTTATTAACAAGGATTGCCGCTACACTATTTAGACTATTGACTGATGATTTTAGAAATCAGGTGCTCTGAAGAGACCCACATCTATTTTTGTTAAAAAAAATGGTTAGCTTTATCTCTGGTGAATGAATTATAGAAAAACCTCAGTTGTAATGCATAATTAGGGACTATTTTGTTATTCATCCCTGATGCACTGATTACATAGTTTTCTTGAATAAGATGAGGTTTTAATAATAATAATAATAATAACATCACTTTGTTAACCCTTTACAATTTTATGCATTAGGAATTGCTTTTCACATATCCCAGCTTGCTCTCCATGAGACATACAGACACACAGATAGGGAGAGAGCCTGGGGTCAGAGCTCTCTCCCTATCTGTCTGTTTGGATTTTAGACTAATCCACAAGATAGTCAGATCATCCTGGATCCCCTGTGAATTCTACTGTGCCTTGAAAATAAGCAACATGAAATTGGTATTCTAATTTACAATCAAGGCATTTCATTTGCCATAAAGAATTGCTAGTTTATTTTGAATCCCTGTGTCAGACTGTTGTTAAAAGAAGAGGTAATGTATCCTAAAAAATGAATCACTTGAGAGTCAGTGCTGGAAATTGGGATTGGTGATGTCAGCTAACCCATGCTGTTGTGGAGCTTCGGAATATAGCTTTGCAGACTGACGCATTTCCATGTGTATAAATCATTCAAGATGTGATCCAGAAAGAAGTGATTGTCAAAAGTGACAAGGAATATTAAAATGACAGGGCAACCTGACATATTATTCACTTTATTTATCGTGTGTTTACCAAGCAGAAAAGGCAAAAATAAAGAGGGCATTTCCTGACAATCTCGTATCCTAATTGTAAGCTTTGAAATTTAAGTTAACAATTTAATTTAATTCAACTCAAAATACTTTATTCATCCTCAGGGGGACAATTTCAGAGGTAAGCAGTGCAACATACAACACATAACAAATAAAACAATGTTACTAAGGAAACATATATGCATAAAAACAACAAATGGAGCACAAAAGTGATTGAAAGTAACACTTTGTAACAGTATTTAAAAAAGCTATGAAAGCAGAGGCACATTGGAAGAGGGGACATTGACATCATATTCAGAAAAACTTCTTTACAGTCATTGTTTGCTAATCTGATGGCCTCTGGAACAAAGCTATATTTCCTTTTATTTGTCTTGCACTATGGACAGTTAAAACATCTTCCCGAAGGCAGAAGATCAAAGGACTGATGAAGGAGGTGAGATGGGTCTTCAATGATGGCACAGGCCTTCCTCAGGACCTGCTGGGTGTACAGCTGTGCCAGGGGTCTTAAAGGCTCACCAATAATGTTAGTGCTGAGGTGTACAACATTTTGAAGGTGGACTGAGATACATTTAAGATACATTGCTTGGGTGGCACAATTGTATGCTGAATTTTGAATTTTGAATTTTTTTTCCCAAAAGTGAGAAATGATTGCAAAAGATTTGGACTTGAATTTTTTCAAAACATTTTATCTTTCACTTGCTGTTTTAGATATTGCTGTTTTTGACAGCTACACTCTCAATAAAAGAGAAAAACACAAAGAGCTGTTTGAGTTCAAAAGCAGGCTCAAAGTTTTTCAGACCCTTGCAGTTCTTATAGTTTGTAGCTTTAAGTCAAGAAACTTTGAAGTAGTGATTAATACGTGTAATTTATACAACCTAATCAATGAATTCAAAACCAAAACCAAAAAGAAAGAATTGAAAAGAAAGAAAAATCAAAAAGTCATGATTACATATTTTTTAAACCCTTTGCTCTGTTGCTGAACCAAACCTAAATTACTTTTAGTGCACAAAAGTGCCTTAATGATATATTTGTAAGGCCCCTTAGTTAGGTAATTAATTTTAAGCAAATATTCAAACATGAAGACCAAAGGGGTTTAAAAACAAAGTAATGTTTAATGTTTTAATTCAAGGTGTAAAAACTCACAAATAAAAGAAGGGTATCAGTACTTCAAATGATTTACTATCTCTTTCAGCATGGCAATATCAATCATTAAGAAGTAGAACAAACTTTCGGGCTGCTGCTCCAAACTGAGCAGCCAGGCAAGGAGGTAACTGGTTAGGGATACTACCATGAGGCCAAAATTGACTTGGATAGAGGAGGAGAGGTCGCTGGCTGAGACTGGAGAAAAGTTGTATAGAGTATGTCACCTACATCACACTCACTCCACAAATGGGGGCATGTACAGTAAGGAATTAAAACAAGACATTGCAAATCATATATGGGGTTCCAAACAAAGTACCTTCTGTAAGTGATATCTGTGGCAAAAGGTGTTGTCAGACAAGAGCAAACT